ACAAGAGGTGCTATATCACCATTGTTTCTTAAAGCTGAATTGCACTGATCTTTTTGCAGGTCAGTAACAGTTCACAGAACAGCACAGGTCTACCAACCACCTCTTGAGAAACACTGTTCTAAGGAACACCATTCCTGAGTGAAATTCCCTGAATAAAGAGTTCCTTGATCAAATAAGTTTGGGAAACCCCGTAAGCTAGAAAATCTTGATACATATTAGCGTATTAAAGGTTCTGAGAAGTCCTACATTAAAGAAGCTCGTTTAATCATTAATTAACAGCAGTTCCCAACCCAACTTGATGTCACAACTTATTGTTCACAAAATACCTTTCAGCCTCCTGCAGAGTCATATTTCTTGGAATGTACTTGGCTCTGCCTGGCCTACTATGGGCAAAGCACAATGCCCAGGCACGTGTGAAGTAGAAGCCTCTGTCCTTTGCCCACACTCTCATGGTCTTTTCTTCTTGTTCTTCTTTATAATCTTTTATTCCCATGGTGCACAGAGTCATGCTCTGACTTTTACTATCTTCCATGCCTACTTCTACCTCCTTCATAGTATTCATTATGGTCAACCTCACTCATACAGATCAAAGTCACCTGTCTGAAACAACCCTCCCTGCACTTTACCACTGCATCCTGCAAAAATATCTGCTTGCCCACCTACATGGAGGAGACATGATAGGTCTTGTCTATCTTTAGTAACTTTCGCAAACAGTAGCAATCCCCTTCCCCTTAATCCAGTTGTATGATAAATATTTTTCTATTTTTTAGAGACAGGGTCTCTCTATGTTGCCCAGGCAGGCCTCGAACTCCTGGGCTCAAGCAATCCTCCCACCTTGGCCTTCCAAGTAACTGGGACTATAAGCACATGCCACCACTTCCAGCTTCTCTGTTGGGAACTGTATATGCACAGAAAAATATCACTTTCACATAAGACACGTGCATTTTTGTTCCTCTTGTGATGTTCCACCCCATTTCCCCACTCTCCTCTCTACCATGCACACTTGTGTGGGCACTCATAACCTCGAGCTGGGGACTTCCTACCTTATGATGGTAATCTCCACCCTGAAATGGATTCCATGGAAATTCCAAAGCGTTGCTCTCATTGGTATTCTCCTAACAGCTCTAACAGTCCTGAGAAAGCTTCTAGAATGCTATTTTATTCCTCTGGGTTGTTCCTCTAGCCCCTCTGGTCACCCAGTGACTTTCGAAAAGCTTTAGTCTACTCTCCATTTCACTTATATCTCTGCTTTCTTGTTCAGCAACCCCAGCTTCTGCAGAGTTTTCTTCAGATGTGACCACATCTATTTATTAGCAGATATGCTTCCTGCCTCAGTACCCACAGGGATTCTGAGCTCCCCTTACAACCAGGCACTGTGCCAAAATGCTCTGGAGATTCAGAATGGGTCACCCAGGGTCCCTGCTCTGAGAGAATCTCACTTCACAGGTTCTGACATTGTAACACCTGCAATGCTTGAGCTCTCGGGACGGGAACTGCCAGACTGCATTTCCCCAACGTTAGCGTTGTATGAGACATTAATCAACAGTCTCCACCAAAAAGAGTTCTGGGGTTAAATAAATTAGAAAAACAGAAGAGTGCGTGTGCTCACATAGGTAATGAATTTTGACGAAAAGCCTATATATAATAGGTTTTCTAAATGTCCTTGACCTGCAAACCATCTTTTCAAGGAACCCCGGTTTGAGATAGTATCACTCTTCTGAGGCCACTTGGTAAACAGTGGCTCAGGGGTAGCTTCAGCCAACTCAGTCCTGCCGAATGCTGAGGATCAGATTGAAGTCATTCAAACACACATCCTGGTTAGGTAGAAAATGGGTATCTCTTTGCGATTTCCCTTAGCTCTGCCTTTTGAATGACAAGTAAATTGAGTCTGTACCCAATGCTCAGTTAGTTACTTTTCCATAGGCATGTGTTCCGTGTAATCTACCACCCAGATCCCTACGGACTCCCAAGTCTGTATTTCTAGCCCAGACCTCTCCCTTGAGTTCCAGAGGGCAGAGGAACTCTATTTGGGGAATCTCACCTGGGTCAGGATATATAGCTCAATGCTCCAAGGGAATTGGGCATTTAATTATTCCATTATGTTGGTGCTGCCCCTCTTGGTAACCAAAGGGCATAGCTGGTGACCTATGAGATATGTTATAAAAGATACCATAAGGCCTGACTTGCCTAAAAATCTCACTTTTATGACTGAGCTCTCCCCTCGTGTCCATTATGAAATTCTTACTCTTATATTTACCAGTAGTAAATAAGGGCCAATAGTCCCTTAAGTGGCACAAATGCACTCCGGGGCCTGGGCAAGCTGGTACATCTCTAGAAGAGAATTTCCATGTCTACTTATTTTTATCTGACCCCTTTAAAATTTCTTTATTTTATGTATGCTTTATAATGTGCATAATATAATTGTGCGGTAACACATGTATATAATTGTAAATAAATAATATAAGGAAGTGTGCACTTAAAACATTATTTACTAAGTAGCACATTGTTTAAACAATTTGGAGACCCTTAGATTGGACTCCAAAGGCTAGAGGCTTCTTCAGCTTTCACCTGTTAGCTCTCCAGCTGATCCCTTTTAGACTCAATTAGGCTCTTAATATTCTATCAACAGCAGACTGCAAACACTTTGAGGGCTACAACCACTTCTTGCTGACAATACCTTGCATTTGTAAAGTTAGCATAAATTTTTAGATACACTATCTCATACCACAACCCAGCAAGATACTTTTTTTTGTTTATTTGTTTGTTTGTTTGTTTGTTTTAGAGACAGGGTCTCTCTCTGTCACCCAGGCTGGAGTGCTATGGTGCAATCATAGGTCATTGTAACCTCAAAGTCCTGGGCTCAAGAGATCCTCCCACCTCAGCCTCCCAAGTACCTGGGACCGCAGGCATGCGCCACCATGCCTGGCTAATTTTTTATTTTTTGTAGAAGCAGGGTCTCCCTATGTTGCTCAGGCTGGACTCAAACTCCTGGGCTCAAGTGATCCTCCTGCGTTGGCCTCCCAAAGTGCTGGGATTACAGGCATGAGCCACCATGCCCAGCCTAAGGTGGGTATTCTTATGTCCATTTTGCAGATGGAGAAATAAAAGTTCAAAACAGTAAGTTCATTTAGCCATAACCTTACTCAAATCCAGTTCTCTCAGAATTCCATTTGCATCCCAATTCTCCATCCTTTTATTACCCTTACCTCCTAACCCCCATAGTGCTTAAATCAAAGGTCAGCAGACAGAAAGCAGGCCATGAAGTATGGCTAACAATTTTATGGGCTCTGACTTTCTATTCTTGATTCTCCCAGGTAATTTGTTCTAACATTGTCTGTGTTTCTTTACAGCATGCAAAAGGAAAGAGCAAGAACATGGGAAGGATAGAGGCAACACACCCAAAAAGCCCAGACTGGTCTTCACAGATGTCCAGCGTCGAACTCTACATGCAATATTCAAGGAAAATAAGCGCCCATCCAAAGAATTGCAAATCACCATTTCCCAGCAGCTGGGGTTGGAGCTGAGCACCGTCAGCAACTTCTTCATGAACGCAAGGAGGAGGAGTCTGGACAAGTGGCAGGACGAGGGCAGCTCCAATTCAGGCAACTCATCTTCTTCATCAAGCACTTGTACCAAAGCATGAAGGAAGAACCACGAACTAAAACCTCGGTGGAAAAGCTTTAAGTAAAAAAGGAAAAAATTTTTAAAAGACCAGGACCTCAAAATAGCAGGTTTATTCTTAGAAATATTTGAAGAAAAAAAGTGTTATTTATAGTCCAAAGAAACCAAAGACTTAGCTCACCTGCATTCTGACTTTGTTCGGAGACACACACTTCAGCGGGGCGACGACTTGGCAAGAAAACTGATGAGCGGGAAACACCACTGGATCTCACACCTTCAATCTGTGATCATTCTCACTGTGCTTGGCTGCTTAGTGGTTTGAAGCATTGTGATTTGGAGCCATTGAGTGGACATCTTTTAAGATCGGACTTTCTCATCTGTTCTACCACGCCATGAAGGTGTATGGTGTCTCAGTACTGTGCGTGGGTGCGCACACGTGTACACACACACACACACATACACACACCACCACCACCAGTGGTTAGAGACTTAGGCAGGACTGGTCTTCAGGAAGAATTGTGCTATGGGAGTGCGACCAACATGGTACGGGGTTGTCTGAGTTCATTGGATTAGGAGTGTGATTTCGCTCGTCTAGCCTAACGTTTGAACCTGCCAGGCCCGCAACCTAAATGCAGATTCAAACCCAGCAAAGAAAATTTGAATGACACCTAAACCAGTGCATTCTCTTTGTTTGTTAAGGAATGTTCAGATATTTTTTAAGAAATGAAACAAGAGTCCATCCATTAAAAAAAAAAAATCACATAGGTACCAAAGAACACACTTAATATTATAGTGCAGGTATTTTATTGCAATGATTTTAATAACCAAAGCTATTTTTACACAAGATACTATGTAAAGTTATAACGTATGAACTGATCTAGCTGTAATACACATGCCACATAGAATCATGACTATTATTTATGACTCTCGAAGCATTTGAAATATGAGTTTTCAGAACTGGCAAGAAAGAATGTAGCTTCAGGGAAGCAATTAATATCATGGCAGAGAGGTCGATGCAGTACACATGTACATCCAGACAGCACACTCCTTTCCAGGATCCATAAATGTCACTTAAGTAGAGAGATAGACATGATTTCATAATCTGTTCCTAGCTGAGAAAACCTAGGGACCCTTCCAAAGTAGGGCCCCATTTGTACACTAGAAAACTAAGTTTAACAGGGTAGGTAACTAAATTAAAAAAATCTGTTCAACGTAATGCTTTTCAGTAAGAGACTACTAAATAAAGAACTCTATACTTAGGTTAATCTGACTTAAATTTGCTTTTTGTATTTGGCTCCAAATACCTTTTTAAAATACAAACACAAATAAGTAAGCAGATGAATATTATTATTAAAATGAACTATCTAGTATTTGTAACCATCCTAAAAAGTAATCAAACTGATTTTTCTTGTCAATCCCAGGCATTTTATGATATGTGGACATCAATAGAACAGCAAGTGCAACTGAGAAACGGTAGAACTGGTGGAACTGCATAGAAAAAGCAGAGTTCTAATGGAAGACAAGATTTTGGTTCTAAGTGTTAATTTATTTCACAAGAATAGCCTTCATAGAATTCTACATTCTTTCTTGCTACTGCATTAAGCTGGAAATTGTATAGTATAGATTCCACTTTCTAACAGGGACAGACAAAATACTAGACCTGAACTTCTAAATACAAAATTTTAAATTTCTATTTTTTCAAATCACTTAATGGGGATTGTAGAAATCAAGGCAAAAAAAAAAAAAAGACAATAAAGTTGTACTAGTAACACCCCAGAGAATCAATTGATCCCCAGAAAAATCATCTCTGAATTCAGTTGGATTGTAATTTATATAAGTAGATAGATGCCTATTGTACAATTGGGTAAAGAATTGGATACTCCCAATTATCACACCTAACTAGAAATACAAAATTAAATATTATCCTGACAATAAGTTGTTTATTGAGATGCATCGATATGCCAAGGAAAAAAATTAAATCATCTTGATGCAGAACCTAACTCCTTAGCATCAAATCTGAGCATCTTGTCTACATCTAACATAGGCAGGTGCCTAGAGAGGTGAAGCTGAACCAACAAGCCATCTATTTGTGTCTCCTTCATGTCTGCTGTAGGATGAGAAAAGGAAACCAACATAGACTTCTCCTTTAATGAAATACTGCTTTTGCCTTGACATATTTTGTCTTAGTATTTTTTTTTATTTCACTCAAAATTCCAGCTTAAATTTTTCCCTTCTAAATATGGCACAATTAACAGTTCAGCTATTAAAAGAGACCATTTAAATGGCCACCCTTCAAGATTTGCTAGAAATTTAATCTAGTCAATGACATAAACAAAAAGGAAGAAACTGATTAACATTTTCTCTCTCTCCAGGAATGGAGGGAGCCGGGGATACAGCTAATGTATTTATAATTTAAGAGGGAGGAAAGCCTTATTTATTTAAAACATGATAATTTAAAATGCAGGGAAATTCAAGCTATGTCTACACATAATCTTACCAAACTCAATACCCCAGGAAAAACAAGAGTTGAATTCAGACAACCATGTTTTTTGCTTTGTTTTTACTATATAACCCCCAAAATTAATCCAAGTGCATGTTATATTTTCAGCCAATTATTTTGGTACTGTGTAGGCACAGTCTCAAAGAATATTACTTCATTTTTGATATCTCACCATAATGTTTTTTTTAAAAAAATAACCAGTTATCCTGTTTGCTAACACCAAAGATAATTCTCATACCAGCATTGAATTTGCACCCATTATGCAATTTCAGGGCCTAGAGATATATTTTCTCATAAACAGATGCACAAATCAGAGCCTGAAAAGCAATTTTTTTACTTGACTGTTTAAGCATACTCACAACCTTTGCTTTTTAGAAATGATAATGGACAAACTTAGCTTCTCACAAGCAATACACTTATTACATCACGTGTGACTGATTCTTTACTTGCTTCCGAACTGGCATGTAGAAAAAAATGCCTCCATTCCTGTTTAGTAGCATGAATTTATGGCTTGGATTGTTTAGCCTACATTCAACAGAGCAGATCATGGGCCATGTGTTCACCCATCATTTCTCAATCCCTTCATAGCATTCACCCCCCCCCAAAAATTATCTCACTCTTTTATTGTAGGCTTGTTTATTCCAAAGCTGTACTTCAAATAATACTTTTTTTTTTTTTAGTAGAATAGAAGTTAGTCTATTTTTGACCATAAATCATACAGGTCCTCCCATGACTGGAAGCTTTCCTGAAAGAGGGCAGGGAGGTATGAAGTCTGGACACCCCAAAAACCCAGACTTCAGTAAATGTTCAGGTGAAAGAGTTCTGGATTTTGGAAGTAGAGTATTCCAGTTCCTACATGCAGCTGGAATAGACTTCAAAGACCAAAGAAAATATGTGAGGAACTCCAGAAGTTCTAAATGAACATGTCACTCACTGTGCCCCCCCCGCAAAAAAAGCATAATTATTTTTTCAGGAAAATATAAAAGCACTATGCTACTTTTGGACTCATTCCACTCCCATTGCTTACCCCAGGTGAATGACCCGTCTTTGCAGGTTAAATGCAAACTTTGCTATACCAAAGAGTCCTAGGACATTTTCACATGAGCTATAAAGGCATTTTCCCTAAGAAAGGTCCTCCCTTCTTTGTACATAAAGGATGAAAACTATGCATTTAGCAAACAAAGAGAAAGCACTTCTCCCTTTTCTATCTAGTTGTTTAGGGTGCATTCAAACACCAGAGGCTGTTTTGAGACACGTTTGGCCTTCTGGGTTATTCTTGTGGTGTGGTTAGCTTTACAGTACATTTGGTAACTATTTCCTAAATAGCAAGGACAGAGAAGCAGACGGTAAGAAATAGCTACTTCCACGTGTAAAAAAAAAAAAAAAAAAAAAAAAAAGTGTAAAGATCTACTATTTATAGTGTGAACCAAAGACGCTACCTCACTCAATTTCCATTGGTGATTTTAATCACATTGATGATACCAAAGAATACCAAAGATATTTTCATGCACGGCCTTGGTCTGCAGAGGGAACTCCGCCCCTTCCCTTCCCCCACCTCCTCTCCCCTCCTCACTCTTCACTCAGTGTGTAAACTTGTCTTCATTCTTAATAAAGATACGATAATGACAACAACAACATTAGGAAATACTACTCTTATTACTGCTAGTTCTACTTGTAAATCTCTAGGCAAACATGTTGCAAACTTTGTAAACTCCTAGGACGAGTGCCTTGCTTGAACCAAAGTGTTAAACCGCTGTTGACCTCTTTCACCTTATACTCTTTGAATACCTCAGCCTCTTAGAAAGGCCACTAATGAAAAAAAAAAAAAGGAATAATTATTCACCGTGGTGCTTTTTCCGTGCAACCATGCAATGAAACTTTCTTTGATACCAAAGGATGACTTTTTTTTCCCAATTTCTTGCTGATAAACCAAAGCTCCTCCTCCTTGTTCCCTCTCAAGCTCCCCCCACCCCACTTCACCGGGTCCCCCGCCAGGCAGGCCGTGCATCACTTTTACCAATTCCTCCAAATACCTCATAGTAATAAAGTTTTAGGGTTATGTTGTATAGAGAGTCTATGTGATAAGGCAGAACTTACTAGTTTGATAATTGTTAAGGTTACTTTAAAAAAAAACTTTATAATTCTTATTTATTTTGTAGTTTGTATGTTTGGGATGTCCCCCCTCCCCTTTGGTTTGGGGTTTATTTTCTTGGCAGAACTGCTCTATCGCTCAAGGAAGACTTAATTTCTGGAAATGTTCCCCAGGTGGGTTAAGGGTTGTGTAAAAATGCAAGAATGGAATAAGAAGTGATTTTCATTTCGATGGTTACTTATGAAGTTTTTGTGTTTCGTAGAAAATTTTTTTCCACAGGGTAAAATATATATATATATATAATCTCCTTTTTGTGAAACTGGTTCCTATTTTTCTCTATAATGTGCTGTGATTTTTTAATTTAATTACAGTTTATATGAGCTTATTTAATCACTGCTTTAATTTATGATTGTGTAGTTTTTAAAATGTATATAGTAGAATCGAAATGGCCAAAGCTTTATGTTACAATCTTTTTGTTCTTGATGCTAAGATAAGCTGAAGGCAAGAGCTTCTCTTAACTGCAGGGTGTATCTTTAGCTTTTTCTTAGTAGGCACTTCAACGTGTGCTGTGAACACTGCCAGCTCCCCCCTCAGAAACTTGTACATGCCAAAATGAGTGTTCCAAGGTAGTCCTTTTTGTCGTTTAGAAAGAAGAAAGGCATTATTGGTGTTCTTCCTTTAATTTATTAATTTTTTTTTTTTTTTAGAAAAGATTCCTTTGCAGGTAAGACCTGAAATTCCAAAGAATTTAAGAGTTTTTTAATATTTCAAAGCACTGGCATTTGTGAGATAGATACTTTGCTACTCTTTTTTTGTTTTTTTTTTTTAACCATTCGCACGGGTATGAGAAGTAAAGAGTGTAGAAAGTCAAAGAGACAAGCTAACTTGAATTTGGAAATCCTCTACGTTTTCCCAAGTTTCTGAATTGCTCCAAGTCAGGGGCCAGGGCGTGAAGAACAGAGTTCCTTTTGCGAAGCTGGAAGTATCACAGCTTCATGCCCTGAAAGATGAAGTCAAGGCTGATGGCAGCTTATCCGGCCCTGCCCCTCTGGCCAGCTCATGGAAGCTGCAAAACAGCTTTAATTATCAATAGAATTTAAGGAAAAAATCTTTCAAAGTTACATATCCCTCTCCACATCTGTTTCTTGGAATCTGCTACCCAAGACTGCCCCCACCACTGCCCACACACCTCTAGCAAAATTGTAAGAATAATCCTCAAATGTCAGTGTCCCTGGGGTGAATGTACCCCAGGCCTATCTGAGTTTGTCTCTTCTCACTCTTTCATCTTCCCCCTAGTTTTCTTTCCTGCACTAGAGATGATCCCTGCCCCAGACTCCCTCACTCGAGGCAGTTCAGATACTTGGCCCTGCTTTAAATGAGCACATACACAGAATTCTCAACAGACGAGCGGCATCCGCAGAAAAGCCGGTGCCCGCTATTTTGTTTTATTTTGCTGAAATAAGTTGCTTCAACTACATGTCATAAACCCATAGATGTAAATATGTTCCCTCTCAACACAGGAATTTTACCTTATTTTCTTTTGCAGGGGTGTTTGGGGGTGGGGAAGGAAAGGGAGGGCTTAGACTTCAGGTCAAATGTTACATTTTCTTAAGAACATTTTTATACTCATTGTGTATTTTAATAGGGCAATAAATCTGCTCTGAGTTGCAGGATCACTCAGTGCTCTGTTGGTAAGCAATGACAAATTATTGGTTTTTAGTACAAACGCTGTGCAGCAAGGTGTAGAAAACCCGGGAAAATGGTTGAGGGAGTTGACTTTCACCGTCCGCAGTGAAGCGCTGAGCAGAGCTGTATTCACAAGGTCACATTTTCTGTTTCTGTGTTAGTCTTGATTTCTCGTGGTATGTTCTGCGTTTATGACATAATCATTGTGGGCTCACGTTAGAATTGCCGTCTGAACCTAGCGACAAGAATTTTTTAAGAAAATAAAGTTTAAAACCTTGTCTTCCACTTGCTTCGGTAGTTGTCTTCATATCTCCCTACCTGTGCTTACTGTCCCGTCTGAATCAGCCCATCTGTCACTTAGACCTGTCCCTTACCCCTTTTCTATTTTCAGTACGCCTTTGACCTTAGCTATTGTTTGAGTGTGACTCAGTTTCCCTGTTCAAGTTAGCTTGATGGTTTATTATGTAAGGAGGGTGCCTAAGACAATCATCAGGTAAAAATAAAAATAAAAAATAAAAAAAAAGATCAGTAGTGTAGAAAATCTTCCAAGAGCAGAGGGAGTTCTTCCTTAGCAATGAAAAACAAAAAAAGAAACAAAAAAAAAACAAAAAAAAAAGGGGTAAATACATAATTAAATAATTAATTGAAAACCTAACCATGAGGGGCTTAGAAGATTTTTGATAAAAGACAAATGTTGCTGTCATTTTCTTTGTCAATTAGAAAACAGTGGTAGTTTCTACGTTGCATCGACATTTCAGACTAAATGATTATTGTACCCAGTTATGGTTGTTTGCTAATATTTTGTCTCTCTCTCTTTCTCTCTGTCCAATGCTTCTTCTGTATTTTTGTGTGTAGCAACAAAAAGCGTAATGCATTAGGCATTATTCTGGTTTGTTTACGAGTATCTCCTGTACTGCATTAAGGTTTCTTTCATTTTTTTTTAAGCTTCGCTACTGTTCTCACTATGCCGTGCAATATCATCTGCTGTGTTTGCTAAGCAAAAAAGAAAAAAAAGAAAAAAAAAAGCAAGTGATGATGCCATCATGCTTTTCAGTGTTAAAATGTTTCAGCATTTATGTAGTCACCAAAATGTAGTAAATAAAATGTTGGATTTTCCAGCACTTTAAATTTAGACAATTCTTGCCTTCTTTTGTTTTTATTCTGCCGGCAATCCTAAGCAAGTGGCTCATGGACTTTCCCTGAAGGAAGGGTGAAACTGAGAGGACAACATGCTTGAGAACAAAAGCCAGTGCCGTGGTTCAAGAAAGATTAATCAAGAAAAAAAAAAAAAAAAAGACGTGGTCTCTAGTGGAGTAAAAAGATATTTTTAAATGAAAGTGAGACATTCTATTTCTAGATATAGCCATTTACATTGACCTGATTAGCTCTCGGAAGAAATAAAAATTATTATTAAAGAAGATGGCCCTTAAAAGTCCTCTCTAGTAAAATAATTTGTGTGGGGATGCATGTGTCTCCGGAGCTGGGGGAAAAGGTCTAGGAAATTAGGGTCCTCTTTTATTTAATAGAAGAGAGTAACTGATAATAGAATAGAGACCTGGTTCAGGGAAAAGTGAAACCAGGTTTGGGTTTCCCACCCTGCTGGTTACTAATTGTGTGACCTTGGGCAAATTACTTAACTTCCCTGAAGCTCGGTTTCCTCATCTGTAAAATAGGCATAAATGTCTACATTACAGGACTGTTGTAAGGATTAAAAATTAGAAACTGGTAAATCTTAGCACAGTGTCTGCCATATAAATTCTCAATAAATCTTAGCTATATTTATGACCAGCAAAAATCTTAAAATGCAGACATTTTCCAACAAAAAGCTAATTTCTAAGTCAGGTTTTTCATTTTTTAAATATAAGAGCTGGACTGCTTTCTTGACACAATTCCAGTAATTGCATCATATTCTCCAACGGGGGTGGAGGGAGCTTTAGAATAAAGTGTGAACGGGACCCTCTCAAGCGGTCCAGTGCCTTGGCCCTGTAAAAGTCCCCACTGGAATGTCTAAGTAGTAGGACACCAGACAGGAAAAAGCAATGATCTGTCTGGAAGAAGTGTTTGAAGGGTGAGTTGACTTTGAAACTTATAAAGAAAGAAGATTCTCCTGGAGGCACGCTGAACACTGTCCCCGGAAGGCTTCAACTGTTAGGGACTTTAGGAGAATAAAACTAATCTGGGAAGATTTGGAAAGCTCCACAGGGAAAACCTGAGGGCCTAGGAGGACCAGGTGAAGACGTTATAAATTAAGCCCAGGGGTAAGGAAGCCAGAAGAAAAATGGAAGCCTTCCAGATGGGGTCAGTACTTCTCTTTTATTTCTTGAAAGCACTGAAAATAGTATAACTACTGACTGCAGACAGCAAATAACCATCAATAAAATGTAATTTGTTTCAATTCCCTCCAAAGTGATCCTTACTATTCCTACCTACTGGGCAAGGCTGTCCCTTCCTGTGAGTGCAGGCGCGAAGAACGTGCTGCGCGCAGCCGAAGTGCTCGCGAGCATCGAGACGGTGATGGGAGAGGAGGCCCCTTGCTCTCTCTTCGGGTGTTTCAAACTTCACACCCACCTCCAACCCTCCCGTGGCTCATCACCAAAAGTCCCTACAAGCAGGTCATCCACTTCCTTCTGTCTGAATGGGAGTCAAGTTGCTACAGTCAGAATCACGCCGTGTTTATCCTATCAGCCAGTTCCTTAGAAAACGTGAAACAGGAGTATTTTTGCCTTCCCTTCATCTTTAGGGATTTTTGTTTTCGGGGAAAGGGTTAGGTCTCGAAACCTCTCTCTTCAAAACAACAAGAATTTCATTCTTAGGATATGGCATGTATCTTCAGCAGCAGTCTGAGAAAATAGGTGGTAAAAACTGACATCCTGGTAATCAGCCGGCAGGAGACAGACATCCACAGATTCTCACCAGTGTGTCAACTTTATTTCTGTTTTTCTATCAGCAAACCTTGTGTGCTCCCTGTCTTGCTTGCAGTTTGTCCTCTGCTCGCTCTCTCCCCGTGTCCGGTAAAAATAGTCGAACCTTTTGGGGGCAGCATTTGGTGAGAGGCTGACAGCCAGAAAGCCTTAGGTGACCTCCACTGAGGGATTTCTTTTGAGACAGATGACATGTGGGGACAAAATGCTGGATTCCTGAATTCCTAAAAGACAGGAATGAGGAGAGACCATGGTTAGGTGAGGAGGTCTCTAGAAAGAGCCAGTAGATTCTTGGGGGCCAAGCAGGGAGGGCGGAGAGGGTACGGCACAGCCTGAGGGTAAAGGGCACCAGCTTGTGACCTTGGGCAAATCGCTGAGTCTGTCTCAGGCTCCACTTCCTCCTCCGTAAAAAGGGCATAATAATTGTACTTGTTTCATAAAACGGCTGTGAGTATATAGTACTCGTGCAGTTCCCCACAGAGAGTAAGCACGTAACAAATAGCTATTTTTCTTTATTTATTAATTAATACATAGCTAAGGGGTAGCAAAGCAAATTTAGTCATTTGAGCGACTTTCCTATTTTGCTACTAAAAGTGTAACCCTATGACCAGCAGCAGCAGCCTCCCCTGGGAGTGTATTAGAAATGTAGACCTCCAGGACCCAGCCCAGACCTGCCGAATCAGCATCTGCATGTTCACAAGATCCCCTCAGTGACTCACACCAGCACATGCCAAAGCGGCCAGGAAGGGGGATCCGATTGCTGACTGTTGGTGGCACGTGAAGAAAGGTGCCTGAGTGTCCAGAGCCCCAGCCGATGAGTCCCAAGGGCTGGACTGTGGCCCCACTGCGTCGGAACCAGCCGGAGAGCCCAGTTATACAGACCTCACTTGCAGATGCTGGTTACGAGGGTCTGGAGTAGGGCACACAAATCTGCATTAAGTGACTCCGATGGACCAGAACTCAAGAGTAAAGAAGCCAGGCTGGGCGTGGTGGCTCACGCCTGTAATCCTAACTCTCTGGGAGGCCGAGGCGGGCGGATCGTTTGAGCTCAGGAGTTCGAGACCAGCCTGAGCAAGAGCGAGACCCTGTCTCTACTAAAAATAGAAAGAAATTAGCTAGACAACTAAAAATATATAGAAAAACTTAGCCGGGCATGGTGGCACATGCCTGTAGTCCCAGCTACTTGGGAGGCTGAGGCAGAAGGATTGCCTGAGCCCAGGAGTGTGAGGTTGCTGTGAGCTAGGATGACGCCACGGCACTCTAGCCCGGGCAACACAGTGAGACTCTGTCTCAAAAAAAAAAAAGAGTAAAGAAGCCAGTGCCATGAGCTCTGTGTGGGATCTGGTTGGGTGTGACCTTCCCTCACTTGTGGTCTAACCAACCTTCCCAGTCGAGGTCTTCATCCTCCCCCACACCCATTGAACTTATGGTACAATTCATATTCTTTATATTCATGTTGCTTACCATGGTTGGCTGCGATATTACTGGTTTTCTTGGTTCATAATTCCCATAGCCCTTGTTACAAGGCCTCAAAAGCAGGCCTCAGAAAACAACCTCTCTCTCTCTTTCTCCTACCCTCCTTTCACCTACCTGAGGCCAGACTCTAACCTTGCCCCACCTTTCTGACTGTGGGTCACAAGACCCTCATTTCTGAAGGGGTCCTGCTCCATACCCGGGAGGAAGGAAGGCTGCACAGAGAGGCCAAGAAGAATCAGGACGGACAGGCCTTGCTCGGTTTCCACACACCATTATCAGCATCAGATCATACCCGTATCGTCCAATCACATCTTGGCACAGTTGTCAGTCCAGTGAAGTCTCCATAAAAGGCCCAAGAGCACTGGGCTCAGAGAGTTCCAGATAGCTGAACACATGGAGGCAGACGGGAAGGTGAACAAGAACTCATCCACCTACCTGCAGGGTGCAACTCCACTTGGACAGATGCTCCCGTGCTCAGGACCCTTCTAGACCTCGCCCTATGTATCTCTCCTTCTGGCTGTTTATTTGTAGCTTTTCAAATATCCTCTAAAATAAACCAGTAAACACAAGTAAGTTTCCCTGAGTTCTGTGAGCGGCTCTAGCAAATTCATCCAACCCAAAGAGGGGGGTGTAGGAACTGACCTGCAGACAATGTCAGAGTTAAATATTTGTCAGCTTTCTCAGGAACCTCACAGAGTACACCATGTTATTCTCAGTGTCAGAGAAGGACATGTGAAATCCTCTTCCCTGAGCACAATTACCCAATTATTACACAACTATCACCAGTGCCCAGCCCAGGCCCTCAGGACCTTTGCATTTTACCCTGTGGAGAAATAGACTTGGCACGACAAAAAAAAACAACCACGGAGAAGTTACAAAGGTTAGAAAAAAAATCTTTGAGTTCGGCCGGGGACGGTGGCTCACGCCTGTAATCCTAGCACTCTGGGAGGCCAAGGTGGGAGGATCCCTTGAGGTCAGGAGTTCGAGACCAGCCTGAGCAAGAGCGAGACCCCATCTCTACTAAAAATAGAAAACTTAGCCGGGCATCATGGTGTGCATCTATAGTCCCAGCTACTCAGGAGGCTGAGGCAGGAGGATCACTCGAGCCCAGGAGTTTGAGGTTGCAGTGATGCCACGGCGCTCAGCTCAGGGCAAAAGAGCAAGACTCTGTCTCAAAAGAAAAAAAAAAGTCTTTGAGTTCTGAACTACTCACCTGTGCTTGCTGGCTTCCCTGCAGACAGGATACCTGGACATGATCTCTGTGCTTTCATCCTTGGGGCAAGGGGGATGGAAAGGCAATGAGAACACCGGGAAAAACTATCAAAACTTTTTCAGAACTCTGAAAACTATCCAAAAGCTGTAACAATCCGAGGAACATTTATTTTAGAAAAACAGCTGAATCTCAGTAAGAACAGCCAGGTTTGTGACATTTTATTAATAATTTGTGCTATTCCCACCCTCCTATCCCCGGCTTTGCAGTAGTTTTAAAAATTAACAGCCCTGCAGACAGAGTGAAAACCAACAGCCCTGCAGCCACTGGAGGGGGCAGGAGGGATCTGGAGCTCTCCCCAAACACAGTTCTCAGATAATTGTCATTATTTGACCTCTCTGGAAGTTCTCTGGGAACCTCCACTGACAGGGCTTTTTAAAATTTTATCTGACTCAGTTTTCACTCAATTCCAATAACCTTTTCCCTGAGGCATTTGTGAAAAACAACCAGGGACAATTGCTTAATATCGAAGCTGCAGCAGTGGCAACAGTTGAGGCAAACTGAGAAGCTGACCGGCAAGCTTAAAAGGAAAAGCTGAGGAATGAGATACCCACAGAGGGCTTTGAAAGTTCCAAAATATTCCTGGGAATCTGGAAAGCTATCCCACCTGTGTGGGATAATCGCCTTTATTTAAAGTCAACTAATTATGAACAATAATCACATCCACAAGATAAACCTTCACAGCAACACCTAGATTAGTGTTTGAATAACTGGCAACTGGTGACTAGCCAAGTTGACACATAAAATTGACCATCACAAGAGAGAACAGAGCTATAAAGGAACAAAATTTTTATATGGTATTGAAATTAAGTTGGTGTGAATCCTCTTTGGGGCAGAGCTCAGCATGCCTTCCCACTGGTTAGCCCCAAAGCCCACTCACGACTATACCTGTGCGACTATTCAGAGATAAATGGGCATGATAGATGTAACCTACTCTCCAAAGCTTCAGGGAAAAGAATAACGCAAACATAGCCATAAAGAATGATAGAGCAAATGTGACAAGAAGTAAAGCATTAGTAAATCTGGCTAATAGGTATAGCGAAATTCATTATACTACCCTTGCAACTTTTCTGTAAGTTTGAAATTATTTCAAAATAAACATTTTTTTAAATGTCCACAAAAACCTTTGTACAAGAACACTCATATCACCTTTATTAAAAATAGGCAAGGGTGCAGTGGCTTACACCTGTAACCCTAGCTATTCGGGAGAGTGAGGTGAGAGGATCACTTGAGCCCAGAAGTTCAAGACCAGCCTGGCCAATATAGCAAGACCCTAAAACAAAAACAACAATATTGGGGAGCATTTTTCTTCATAGCTCCTTCCACTGGGCCAAGACACTGACTACATACCCTTTTTAAAATTTTTTAAATTGACAAATAATAATTATATATATTTATGGGGTACAATGTAATATCTTGATATATGTATACATGATAGAATGATTAAATCCAGCTACTTTACATATCCATCACCTCACATACTCATCATTTTTTTTTTTGTGGTGTGAAAATTTAAAATCTACTCTTAGCAATTTTGAAATAGACATTATATTATTATTAACTACAGTCATCAGGCCATGTAATAGATCTCAAAAACTTATTCCACCTGTCTAAATGAAATTTTATACCCTTTGATGAATACCTCTCCCTTGCCTTCTGCCCTCACCCAGCCTCTGGTAATCACTATTCCACTCCACTTCTAAGAGTTCAACTTGGCTACAACATACAAAAAGGATGATACACCATGACTGAGGTAAATTTATCCTAAGAATGCAAAGTTGGTTTAACCTCTGAATAGCAATTAATGTAATATGCCATATTAATAGAATAAAGAATAAAATCCGCATGATCATCTTAATAGATGCAGAAAAAGTATTTGACAAAATTCAATGCCATTTCATGATAAAAACTCTCATTAAAGTATAAATAGAACTCGACCAGACAAAGGCCATCTACAAAAAACCCACAGTTACCATCATACTTAATGGCAAAATACTGAATGAACCTGCCAAGATCAGGGACAAGACGAGGATATCTCTTCTGGCCACTTCTATTCAGCACTGTACTGGAGGTTCTAGCCAGGGCAATTAGGCAATGAAAATAAATAAAAGGCATCCAGACCAAAAAGGAAGAAGTAAAACCATCTTTTTTCATAGATGACATGATCTTGTACATAGAAAATCCTAAGAAATTCACAAAAAATTATTAGAACTAATAAACAAATTCAGCAAGGTTTCAGGATATAAGATTATAATACAAAAATCAACTGTATTTTGATACACTAGCAATGAACAATCTGAAAATCAAATTAAGAAAACATCCATTTACATTTGCATCAAAAAAGAATAAAATACTTGGGAATGGCTTTAACGAAATAGTGTAATACTTGTTTGCTGAAACTATAATATTGTTGAAAGAACTTAAATATAATTAAATAAGTGCAAAGACATTCCATGTTCATAGATGGGACTACTTAATATTATTAAGATGGCAACAGTCCCTAAATTTATTTAAAGATTCTCAACATAATCCCTATCAAAATCCCAACTGCCTTTTTGAACAGATATTGACAAGCTAACTCTAAAATTCATATGGAAATGCAAGGAACCCAGGATAGCCAAAACAATCTTGAAAAAGGTAGAACAAAGTTGGAGGCCTCGCACTTCCCAATTACAAAACTTACTACAAAACTACAATGATCAAGACAATATGGTACTGACATAAGAATATACATACTAATCAGTGGGATAAAATTGAGAGTCTGGAAATAAACTTTTACACTTATAATGAGTTGATTTTCAAAAGAGTGTCAAGACAATTCAATGCAGGAAAGAATAGTCTTTTCTCAAATGGTGCTTAAAAACTGGATTTCCACATGCAAAAAATGAAGTTGTACCTCCACCTCACACTATGTACAAAAATTAACTCAAAATGGATCATCAACCCAAATTAAATAAATTAAACTATAAAACTCTTAGAAGAAAGCAAAGCAATAAATCTTCATGACATTGAATTAGGCTATGGTTTCTTAGCTATGACACTAAAAGCACAATGACAAAAGAAAAAATAAACAAATTCAACTTTAACAAAAATTTTAAAAACTTTGTGCTTTAAAAGCACCATTAAGAAAGTGAAAGACAGGCCGGGCATGGTGGCTCACACCTGTAATCCTAGCACTCTGGGAGGCCGAGGCGGGTGGATCGCTCAAGGTCAGGAGTTC